GTGGTCATAACACTTACAGTCACACTGGAGAAAAGAAGAAGGAGGGGCTTATCTCCAAAGCAGTCAGGGCCAGGAACTTCCAAGACAGAAGCTGGTGCACAGGTCACCTGAACAGAGCACTTCCCATACTGTGGCTTTATCTGGGGACATCACCTTGTCCCCAGGGCGGAGTGGGTAGGAGCTCAGTCCTAAGCCATGTCAACCAGCTGCCTCACCACAGGCAAACCAATCGAGCTCCATAAACCCTGGTCCCCTCACCTGTAACAGAGGTAAGGGTTGCACGAGTATCCACCTCCCAATCCATGGGGAGCACCTGGCCCAGCCCCAGGAAGGGCTCCAAGATGTGCACTTTCCATGGGCATCTGTAGCTATGCCCGAGCTCCGGAGCATGGACTCCTTCACCTGCGTGGCCTTGGCCCTCGATGCCCTGCTCCACCACATCCCAGGAGGGCCCAGGCTGGAAGGCCTCTTGGAGAGACTGAAGCCTTGGCTGGAGGGACAACTGAATAGTCCGAAGAAGTCTCGGCCTCAGAGAGCATACGGTCTAGTGAGGATGGAAATCACAGACCCCGTGAGCATTGGAACACGTTATGACCTTGGTCTTCCCGCCGTCGGTGCTGGAAACACCGGAGGGCTCAGAATGAGCGGCGGGGGCTGGCCCGGGAGCGGCTGGGGAATCCTCCCGGAGAGGTGACGCGGGGGACAGGACAGAGGGAGGGCGAACCAGGAGGAAGACGGGGAACTGCAGGAGGCACGGCTCCCAGCAGGACACTCTGCTTTCCACCCTGACTGCTGCAGCCCCAGCCTGCACACAGACAGCACGTGCAAGGCTGGAACCGGCCTGCACAGCTCCGTGAGGCCAAGGTCTGAACACAGTCGCCTACCCCACGTGCCGTCGGAGCCGAGCATACCTGGGCGTGCGTTCAGCTGGCCAGAGCCGACGAGCCCGGCATTGATTAAAGACCCTGCCTGTGCCCAGTGTAGCTGAGGGGCCAGGAATTACATCTCAGCCTGTTGGGGACTTCGGGGAGCTCTCTGGGGCACAGCGTTTCCTCAGAGACAGCTCCGTTAGCGATTGCACAGAAGAACAGAAAATCCAGAAATAATCAGAACCCTAAAATAATCAAAGGCAAACACAGTCAATGGCCCTTCTGTCTAAAGATCCAATTCACAAGCCTGACTGTGACTTTTCAGTGAGGACTTCAAAAGCTCCAGAGGCCAGCCCTGGGGCGTCTCGGCCAAGGGGAAGTTCAAAACGCCTGAAGACAACTACTCATATCCCACAGTCCCACCGCTTGGCTCATGGGGCCATCATACCACCATCAACAGGTACTCATGAGGTACCTGTATCAGATAAACCAATCCACTTGGCGCTTTGTTGGGCAATTGTGTTACAGGGAACGTATTTCCCAATTAAGCAACAGGTCTGCCTTGTTGTGGTCGCTGTTCTATTTTAGGCAAGACAATATGCATTTCCTGGTTTTAGTCAAAGAAAAGAAATCACCTAATCATCATGGGATCCACTTGCCCCATACTTATGACTTAAGGTTGCGTTCTCTAGTTCAAAGAGCACTGTCTCTGGAGTCAGACTGTCTGGGCCACTATTCTTTGCCTCAAAGCAGTTTCTTTCTGTGTCACCCAGTAAAATGAGGGTGTTCACCTAGAACACAGGTTCCAGAATGCAAGGGCCTTGGAATCCACCAGGAAGTAAGTTTAAAATGCAAACTCTCCAGATTCCGGGTTCACACAGGACGTTGACATCCTTCCAGTGCTGGCGTCCCATGACTTTCTGAAATTAGGTTGAGCACATGAAAACAGAACCACTCCCTTCTAAAGATGGGTTTCCTAATTTCAATTCCCTTTTGGAGCGAGTGCAGAGCAGGGGTAGCTCAACACTTGACAGAGAAGTAGGCTTAACACCGAGAAGCACACACATACGCTCCACAGGCCACTAAGAGCTTTCTAAATATGCGTTCTGCACTGACTGGCTGGTAGGACATTGGCCAGACAGGCAAATGATTGTTTATACCAGTGCATTCTTTACTGAGTCCAAAAACCCTCTACAAATATGTGTGTCATACGTGTGTACACAGGGTTCTGTTCTATTTTACTATAGAGAAGGTATACGGGGCTGCCTGGGGGTGCTCAGTCAGTGAAGCATCTGCCTTTGGCTCAGGTCATGAGCTCAGGGTCCTAGGGTCCTATGTGTTCCCCATTCCGAGGACCAAGGGTATCCATGGCCCCACAGCATGCACGCCTGCCAACCACCACCACCACCACCACCACCACCACCACCACCACCAAAGACTTTGGACTAGAAGCCACAGGACCCAAGTGAGCAAGACTAAAAGGGAGTTATGGGATCATCCAGCCAATCAACTGTTTCTGCTGGTGAAGAATCCAAGATGCAGAGGCAAAAGCACCAGCGCCTCTGCCAGCTGACACAGACCTAGTGCTGAACTCATGACCCCTTCCTGCCAGCAGGGAGACAACTGAGACCGGTGCTCGCTTTCCTCTCCTGGGAGGGCACAGCGCTCCAGCTGCAGGAGTGGCGCTGCCCACAGGCATGGTGGGCGGCCCTCACTATCGGCTCTAATGCTGCGTGAGACCCAAGCCTGGGGGCACGTCCACAGAACAGAGAGGGTGCATTGTCTGGGCCTGTTTTCATGGAGCTTCTTTTAGCAGAGATTCACATTACTAATTGGTCAACTAACCTTAAGAGATATGATATCAGTGCAGTCTTTTTTTATATGGGATCTGAAAGCAAAGGGTTTACTAAAAAAAAAAAACAAAGAAACAAACAGCAAGGAAAGTACGATCCTATGTTCACTTTGGAATAAGTATACATTTTTGTGTGTTTTGAGCAGAAAAAAAGTATACATTTTTGTGTGTTTTGAGCAGAAAAAAAAATAGAAGCCCTCAGCATAGCTCACTACTCATTTTTTGCAACATATTTACAATAAGGAAGCTTAATGATGATATATATGTGTAAATCACAAAAATCTCAAGAATTAGAAATTAAATATAAAAAAAGTGACTGTCCCAGCCACTTATGCATTAGGAAATGCCTTCTTATAGTTAGAATTTATGGATGAAAAAATAGACACTCTAGATTAAGAAAAAAAAGAGGGGATCCCTGGGTGGCGCAGCGGTTTAGCGCCTGCCTTTGGCCCAGGGCCCGATCCTGGAGACCCGGGATCGAATCCCACGTCGGGCTCCCGGTGCATGGAGCCTGCTTCTCCCTCTGCCTGTGTCTCTGCCTCTCTCTCTGTCTCTCTCTCTCTGTGTGATTATCATAAATAAATAAAAATTAAAAAAAAATTAAAAAAAGAATGCCACAAAGCTCATGCTAACATAGGTTTTTAGTTTGCTTTGAATAATAATTTGAGAAAGAACTGAGGGAAAAAGGCCCTTCTGCTCACATAAAATGTTAAGGGAAGAACAGTTAGTCATCAAATTTCCTTAATCTCAATTTTAATTTTCCAAGGAAAGTCTCTACAAACAGAAAATGTTAGAGCATAAGGCACATCTGGAGAAATGACTGAATTGGGATCAGATCCGTAGTCTGATACATGTTTAACAATTTCAAGTAGTCTGTCTAGAAATTCATTACTCTGAATTAGAAACCACAGTTTTGCTATGGGAAGATACATACCTATCTTCAAAGCTTTAAGGACGTTCATGTATTACTAGCAAGAGTGGAACAAGACCACACGACAAGCAATTTAACAGCATCTGTCAAAATCACAAATGTATTCAACATCCTCTGACTCAAAAATTCTATTTCTGGAAATGAATCTTACAAACAAACTTGCACACATACAAGGTTATTTTCTTTCTTTCTTTTTTTTTTTTATTTACGATAGTCATACAGAGAGAGAGAGAGAGAGGCAGAGACACAGGCAGAGGGAGAAGCAGGCTCCATGCACCGGGAGCCCGACGTGGGATTCGATCCCGGGTCTCCAGGATCGCGCCCTGGGCCAAAGGCAGGCGCCAAACCGCTGCGCCACCCAGGGATCCCACAAGGTTATTTTCAACTGAAGTATTTGTCTTCTACCGGAAGACTAGAAATAGCCCAAATGCCCATTATTAGGGCATCTGTCAAGTAAGTCATGGTATAGCTAAGCATATATAGCTGTGTGATTCTATAGACTCGAACAGTGAAGGGACACCCGGGGGGCTCCGGGGTTGGGCGTCTGCCTTCGGCTCCGGGCGTGACCCCGGGGTCCCGGGATCGAGTCCCGCGTCGGACCTCCCTGCAGGGAGCCTGCTTCTCCCTCTGCCTGGGTCTCTGCCTCCCTCTCTGTGTTTCTCATGAATAAATAAATAAAAACTTAAAAAAAAAAAACAGTGAAGTATTCTATGTATTGTACGGAAAGATTTCCAAGATATTAAGTAAAAAATTCAAGAATCAAAAGAATGTGTGTTACAGTCCACCTTTTGTATTAAAATGGAAGCAGGGAAAAATAATAATTATGTTCATATCTGCTTCTAAAGAGATTTTTTTTTAGAGGTGAAGAAATCAGAGATTTGGAAAGGATACATACACACCTGGGGGAGTCCAACAATGAGACAGCAGGGAGGGATTTCACTGTATGGCTTTTTATTTCCTTTAAGTTTTGAACTATGTGAATGCATTGCCTGTTCAACAATTTAATTTTCAAACAGCAAAAGCTATCTTCGTAATGCTCAAAACCTTTCATTAATAAGGTGCTTCCTTATGACAAAGACAGCAGAGATTTCAGCACGTCCTCCAACAAAACTGACCTTCGAATCTTGAAGCAAAATATGAAGTTAGATGACTCATCCTTACTTATTCAAAAACAGTATTTTTATATGCCTCGTGTAAATGTAACGCTTTTAGTACTTTGACCTAAAAATAAGATTTCAATGCTTTGAAGTTAAAACTCAACTTGGTCACTGATACAAAAACCAGCCAAATACCAGCACTGCGAGTACTTTGCAGAGCCCTGCTCTCTCACCAGAAAAAAGGCCCATACCTTCGTCAGAGCGGCCATTTCTCCCGTGAGGGATTCGGTGGAGGCAAAGAATATATCCATCTTCCGTCTCGATGAAGTGCTCCTCACTAGGGAATCCCCAGTGAGAGATAATTCCACTCTAGAGAGAAAAAGAATATTGGAAAGTCTGTGGACAGAAGCCGACAGGCTCTCCCACCTGAACAGGTTGAGGGGAAGACAAAGTGTCGGCATTCTTCAGCCTTTAAGCCATCGATTGTCCCTGAACTCCTACTGTGCTCTCTCCAGAAGCACCTCCCGAACAGGGGGGAGCCTCCGCACGTTTTTATCCATGTGTTTTGCTCACAGGTGTTTGATTAACCTTGGTTTCAACATTCTAGCATGTTCTACACCAAACGTGTCTAATTTACCATGGCTTTCAGCCTGTTTCCATCTTGGCTCCACAGGGAGACACACACTTCTTTCTTTTCTAAATATGTCAGCTAATACAGCCACCTACCACTACCCTTATTTTAAGAGGGCCTGTCCTGGGAAACAAAGTATCTCATTAACCCATTTTTATCAATGACCTAATAAAATAATGCTAACAAGAGACAGTAATAAAATACACAATAGTAAGGTGGAGCTGAAGAATAAGAGATGAAAAATAGGAAATTATGATCAAATTCACTTCTCCATAAGGAACAACCCATGGAGCTAACTGTCAATCAGGAGCTCAGTGGGTGTGGATAATTCGAGCATCTCGATTTAATGTAAGTGCTCACTATCCTCTCTATCACAAGTATTTGAAAGAATTTATTGTGTCATTTTTACAGAATAAAAATTTTAGAGGAGGGAGAGGAATGAAAGAAAAAATTGGGGACGAGAAATAACACTTGGCCTTAAGACCCTGATATATCAGGTTATATTCTCTTGACTCACTATGGATTTATCTGCCTCTGAGCTTGCCTGGATTCTTCACTGAGGTCACTGCATCATCTGCTTCAAAGTAGTTATTCTTGGGGCGCCTGGGTGGCTCAGTTAAGTGTCCAACTCTTGATTTAAGCTCAGGGCATGATTTCAGGGTCACAAGATCGAGCTCCGCATCAGGCTCCTTACTGGGCATGGAACCTGCTTAAGATTCTCTCTCTCCTTCTCCCTATGCTCCTCCCCACCATGCTTGCTCTTTAAAGAAACATAATAATAATAAAAAATAAAGTATTTTCTATAGTCACTTGTATTTTCCCAATATTTTATGTCTAAGTGAGGTATTTCCAGATTTTACTGTTTACTTAAGATTAATAACTCTGAACTGTGTCAGTTACTCAACAAATTATATTTGCTTACTTGGTCTAACAAATTTTTTTTCAGATATGTTGATCTTTGTCTTGAACTGTATTGCCTGGGCATTGCTAATCACACTCCTTGTCCAGTGTATTATAAAAGTAGCACTTGGTAGCACATTCTTGCAAAGTTTTGATACATTTTTATCATTCTTTCAATAAATGCAGTGAGACTTAAAGATGAAATGAATTTATAAAAATGACATTTATCCCATCAAGAAGCATGTAGTTTACCAGTTAAGTGCAATTCATAAAACACACATTACCTGGTGGGAAAGGCAGCAAACGAAATCTAAGGTTCAGAGAACATGAAAAGCACAATGACATATAAAGAGATTAGTCTGTAGCTTCACGTAGCCCACATAACTGAATCACAGAAAATAATGCACATCTGTCATTGCTGCATTTTAAAAGCCTCTTTGAGACTCTGAGAAACTTACCACGTTCATCTTCGTTTCAGGATCCAAGGATGCCAGCTTCCCTTTGAGGGCCTCAGAACGCAGGGTCCCAAGGACCAAACAGATTACCAATCCCAGGAGCTGCATTTTCATTCTGCACAAAATAGTCTGCAGTTATTTGTCCGAATTTCACTACACAGCTTATGTTGGTAGATTAATGCTTCCATAAAAAGTTCTGAACCAGGTTTAGGGCAGGTAAACATCGGGTCAAGGGCAAATACGATACAAAAGACTCCAGCCATATAGGGAAACCAAAAAATAAGGAATCACTTTTTTACTAGGAAACTCCCCCACCTGCCTTCACAGTTAACATGTGACCTTTGGAGCCCAGCACACCCACTCACTCTCTCACCACAAGGTTCAACCAATTGTTCCTAAGAAATAACAGAAGAGGGGACTTAGAAGACAATAGGCTGAAAATAGGGAAGAACCACAGAATTCCAGCGCCTGTTAGCCTCCCACCTTTTCCCTTCCAATTGTGATTTAAACATTTTCAAGTCCAGTATCAGTTCTTGCCTTCTACTGTTTCTGTTCCCACACAAAATTACATGTCAGGATTCAAATTTGTCAGTCAAATATTATGCTAAGTGAAATAAGCAAGACTGAGAAAGACAAATACCGTATGATTCCACATGTATGTGCAATCTAAAAAAGAAAAAAGAAGAAGAAGAATACACAAAAATCAGAAACAAACCCATAAATGCAGAGAACTGATGGCATAGGGGTAGGGGTAGGGGGTGTGCAAAATGGGTGAAGGGCAGTGGGAGCTACAGACTTGTAGTTATGGGAGGAATAGGTCTCGGGGATGAAAGGCACAGCACAGGGGATAGAGCCGATGGTTTTGGAAGAGAGTTACATGGTTCTAGATGGTAGCTACACTCTGAGTACAGCATGAAGTCCAAAGGTGTTGAACCACTATGTTGTGTACCTGAAGCTAATGTAACATTGTGTCAACACTGTGTCAACTACACATTATAATGTATGATAATGTGTTTTTAAAAGTAAATAAAACAGATATGTCATCCAAGGAAAAGACTGGAATGAACGAGAGCCTGGAAGAGAAACAGGGCTGGAGGGTATTATGCTGAGTGAAGTAAGTCAATCGGAGAAAGACAAACAGTGTATGTTCTCATTCATTTGGGGAATATGAATAATAGTGAAAGGGAATATAAGGGAAGGGAGAAGAAATGTGTGGGAAGTATCAGAAAGGGAGACAGAACATAAAGACTCCTAACTCTGGGAAACAAACTAGGGGTGGTGGAAGGGGAGGAGGGCGGGGGGTGGGGGTGAATGGGTGACTGGCACTGAGGGGGACACTTGACGGGATGAGCACTGGGTGTTATTCTGTATGTTGGTAAATTGAACACCAATAAAAATTAATTTATTAAAAAAAAAAGGATAGAAGACCAATCCCTCTCCCCTGCTGAGACCTTACAACCACCCACAAAGATGATCTAGTTCCCACCAGGGATGGCGCAAAATCACAGCACAGCAAAGACCTTGGGGCTGAATGTTAAAGGCAAAGTGAAGAGAGTCCCCAGGAACCTGGATGGTTAGAGGCAAAACTGGAGCTGGAGGCATCCTTTGCTTTTAAAAATATATTCACTCAAAAAAAGGTGTGTGCATGTATATCCATACAAAGACTTGTGCAAACATGTTTAAAACAGCCTGTGTGTAATTCACAAAAACTAGAAAAACCCAAATGCCCCAAATGGGTGGAGATATATATATATATATATATATATATATATATATATATATATATATGAATATATCTACTACTCAGCAATTAAAGGAGTGAACACACAATAGCATGGATGAATCTCAAAACAATCATGGGAATGAAAGCCAGACCTAAAAAAAAAAAAAAAGAAGGAATAAATACATATGATTCCATTTATATAAAATTCTGGAAAATGCAACATAATCTCTATTGATGGAAAGCAGATCTCCGCTGCCTGAGAAGAAAAGGAGCGAGAAGAAAGGATTACAAGGGGCTACAAGGAATGTTTTGAGGGAGCTGGACAGGTTCACTATGCTGAATTTACCAAGGGTTTCATGGGAGCACACGTAAGGCCAAAGTTATGGAACCGTTGGTTTAAAGTGTTGCCATTGTACATCCATACACTAAGGTGGTTTATCTGAGTATTCCACCAACCTAAGAGACGTTCTCTAGAGACTGTGATGCAAATCCCGCCAATGCAAGTCCTGTTGATGCTGCAGTTACTTCTCCAAGCCACGGAGCACACTGTGCATCCAGAAAGAAAGGAATGTAACCTTGAGTCTGCACTGGCAGAGAGGCTCCCTTGGCAATTACAACTGTTTTGTTGTGGTGGTTGGGAAGGCCACCTCCCAAGCCACCTTTTATCATAAATTCAACCGCCCCAAAGTCCATTATTTTTACTAGGGAGCAGGGAAGAGATTGAAAAGGAAGAAAGAAAGGCTATGCCCACAACTAAAGAATTCCGTGGCAGCAGACGCCTTCCACCGGGTGCTAACCTACGGAGCCCGGAGCATCTGTGGAAAAGCTGCAGGAGGGTAACAACTAAGGGCTCTCAACTGCACACGTCCCTCTGCTCACTTTTCCTTCCATCCCATTAAGCCAGCTTTTCAACCAAGTAGTCAACTGGTCCTGGGAAGGATGATGACTGAGAAGTTTAGAGCAAGACAAAGCTCCCTTCCAGGCTGGATTCTGTTTTTTTTTCCGGGCTTTCTTAGCAACTTTAATCTCCCTTCTTTCTACACCGTAACACGCGAGCAAGGCTCTGCCCTGTTTCACCCCGGCCATTGGCGGCATCTGAGTCACTTAGAACCCCTGGATCTTCAGGGGCGCCCTGGACACAGCAGGTGCGCGGCACAGGTGTTGGAACACGAGACAGGGGTCGGCCCCAAGGTCCCAGGTAACGGTGTGGTCAGGACCCAGTCCACCGCCCGGCAGTAGCTCGGCTCCGTTTACACTCCCTGCGCCCACGCCCGGCTTCCCTCCCACCTGGGCCGACACCTGGGCGCGCACCCTTAGATCCCGGCCAGCCAGGGGCGCAGATTCAGCTCGGGCGGGGGGTGCCGCCAGGGCCAGGGCAATACGGAGCCCCGCAGCCCACAGCACTCACCCCACACCCCCCGGGCCCCGCAGCCCGCAGCCCTCATCCCCGGCGCCCCGCAGCCCCCGGCGCCCCCAGGGCACGCATCCCCCCCCCGGGAACCCCGCAGCCCGCAACCCCCGGCGCCCCAGGGCACGCACCCCCCTGCGCCCCGGAGCACTCACCCCCCGGCGCCCCAGGGCACGCACCCTCCCCCCGGGAACCCCGCAGCCCGCACCCCTCTGAGCCCCAGGGCACGCACCCCCGGCGCCCCGCAGTCCGCACCCCCGGCGCCCCAGAGCACTCACCCCCCGGCGCCCCAGGGCACAAACACCCCAGCCCCGCAGCCAGCACTCCCCTGCACCCCGGAGCACTCACCCCCGGCGCCCCAGGGCACTCACCCCTGGCGCCCCAGGGAACGCAACCCCCAGCGCCCCGCAGTCCGCAACCCCCGGCGCCCCAGGGCACGCACCCCGCAGTCCGCAGCATTCACCCCTGGCGCCCCAGGGCACGCACCCCCCTGCGCCCCGGAGCACTCACCCCCCGGCGCCCCAGGGCACGCACCCTCCCCCCGGGAACCCCGCACCCCGCAGCACCCCAGGGCACGCACCCCCGGCGCCCCAGAGCACTCACCCCTCCGCGCCTCGCAGCCCGCCGCGGCCGCAAGGCCTCTTGAGCGGAGCCGGAGGGCGGGACCCGGGACGCTGGGGGGCCGGTGCCCCCCCCCCAGCCACGCGCGCCGCCAATCGCAGCGGCCGCCGCCGGGAAGTGCCGCCGAGACCCCGCCCCGCCCAGGCCAGCTCGGAGCCTGCGCCGCGGGAGACGGGGGGGGCGGGGGTGGGGGCGGGGCGGGGGAGGGGCTCAGGCTCCGCCTCCAGCCCGGCCGCGCCCCCGCCGCACCTGCTCCACCCGGGCTGCGCCCTCCGCACCCGCGCGGAAGAAGTGCGCTGTGCAAGGGCTCAGAGCAGCAAGGCTGCTTTGCATTTTGTTTTATTTCTAATATGCCCAGTATCAGGGCTTTTTATTTCATAAATGCGCAGACTAGGGATGGGGGCATCTGAGTGGCTCCCTCGGCTGAGCGGCTGTCTTGGATCCTGTCCCGGGCCGAGTCCCGCGTCGGGTCCCCGCCAGGAGCCTGCTTCTCCCTCTGCCTGCCTCTCTGTGTGGGTCTCATTAAGTAAACAAAACCTTTTTTAAAAAGAGAAAGAGAGAGAGAGAGACTAAGGATCTAGAAGCCAGCAAGCAAGGTCCCTGTTCCCCTTGTTACATTCCACTAGGAAAAGACACACCACGAGTAAACATGTAACAGGAAGTAGTAGAAAGCGCCACGAAGAACAATAAAACAATAAAGTCACAATGGAGGACACTCCTATGTTATGTATAAGATAAAAAAGGACTTTGTTTTTTTTTATTGTTTTTTAATTAATTATTTATTTATTTATTTATGATAGTCACATCACAGAGAGAGAGAGGCAGAGACACAGGCAGAGGGAGAAGCAGGCTCCATGCACCGGGAGCCCGACGTGGGATTCGATCCCGGGTCTCCAGGATCGCGCCCTGGGCCAAAGGCAGGCGCCAAACCGCTGCGCCACCCAGGGATCCCTAAAAAAAGGACTTTGATGAGGTGACAACTGAACATAAACAGGAAGGTGGCTGAGAGCCATGTAGATACTGCAGAAAGACCATTCTGGGGTGAGAGAATAGCAGGTGCAAAGGCCCTGGGGCAGGAATATTCTGGTGGGTTCTGGGAAGAGCAATGAGGTTGGTGTCGCTGGAACAGAATGTGATGAAGTCCCAGAAGTAGTTGGGTGCCTCAGAGGGGCAACTGTAAAGATTGTGCTTCTTCTTCCTACCCAGATGGGAAGCCAGTGGAGAGTTTCCAATAGAAAGGCAACATACTCTGGTTCACACTTTAGAAAGATCACTCTGACTGCTGAGGTCAGCTAGGGAAGCGGGGAGACACGATCAGAGGCTACTGCAATCGACCGAGCAGAGGTGGTGATGGCTTGGACGCGGTGCTGAGAGCAGCGGGAGGGGGGGGGAGCAAACACTTGAATTCAAGCAAGGAAAGCACAGAGAGCACCTTGGGAGGGAAACCGAGAGTCGAGAGAGTCGTGGTAGAGGTGTTGACTGTGAGACACTTGTTAGGCTACTCTCTGCAGGCGGACCCGCACCAGGGATTCCACCCCCAGGAAGTGGCTCTGCGGTGGCAGAGCGGCCAGGAAGCCAACAGGCCTCAGGCAAGGCCCACAGAGAGCAGCAAGGGCAGGAAGGGCTGAGGACCTGGGGGACGGCCGTTGGCCAGAGCCCCGTGGTGCTTGTGTTGAGCAGCCGCCTCTGCCAGAGACGCTTCTGGGCCAGGAGAGGAGGGTTCCGCCCCGTGGCCTTCCTGCCTCCTGCCCCCGAGCCTCCCACCAGTTCCCCCTTGGGGGCAAATGCAGCCTGACCCTCGTGACCCAGGAGCCTAAGAAAGGGAAGCTATGGGGCCGCACCGCCTCCACCCCTCGAGACGCAGAGCAGGGGACAGCCGGGGAATGGATCCAGGGACAAAATGGCAAAGACCAGCTCTGGCACGTACCCATCTCACATTCAAAGTCAAATTCCAGGCTGGAGACAGAGCCTAGAGACGGAGCGAAAGTCCCAAGACTGGGTGAGGCCTCCTAGAGACAAAGCACAGAGAACACACGGAGAGCAAAGGATAGACAAGCTGAGCAGCCAGGGAGGTCGGAGCAGAGCTGTGAGGGCTGTGCTGGACTGAGTGGAAAACGCTCAGGAAAGCGGTGGCGCTTGGCCTGGGCGTTGGAGTGCGCAGAGCACCGAGAAATGAGTGTCACATTTAGCGGTATTTCTACGTGTCAGGCGTTGTGCTAAGCCCTTTACCCAGATTGCCGCAATCAAAATGTCCCCATTTTACAAGTGAGTAGATGGAGGATTAGAAAGGGAAATATCTTGGAGGCACCTGGGGGGCTCAGGGGTCGAGTGTCTGCCTCTGGCTCAGGGCTTGACCCCGGGGTCCTGGGATCGAGTCCGCATCGGGTCCCTGAAGGGAGCCTGCTTCTCCCTCTGCCTGTGTCTCTGCCTCTGTCTCTGGGTGTCTCTCGTGAGTAAATAAATAAAACCTTAAAAAAAAAAAAAAGGTGTAACATGCTGTTGCCATATGACCCAGCAATTGCCCTCCTGTGTACACACCTGAGAGAAAAGAGGACTCACCCTTCTATAAAAACTTGTGCACACATGAGAAAATGCTCTGCATCACTTACCATCAGGGAAATACAAATCAAAACCACAATGAGATACCACCTCACACCAGTGAGAATGGGGAAAATTAACAAGGCAGGAAACAACAAATGTTGAAGAGGATGCGGAGAAAAGGGAACACTCTTACACTGTTGGTGGGAATGTGAACTGGTGCAGCCACTCTGGAAAACTGTGTGGAGGTTCCTCAAAGAGTTAAAAATAGACCTGCCCTATGACCCAGCAATTGCACTGTTAGGGATTTACCCCAAAGATTCAGATGCAATGAAACGCCGGGACACCTGCACCCCGATGTTTCTAGCAGCCATGTCCACAATGGCCAAACTGTGGAAGGAGCCTCGGTGTCCATCGAAAGATGAATGGATAAAGAAGATGTGGTTTATGTATACAATGGAATATTACTCAGCCATTAGAAACAACAAATACCCACCATTTGCTTCAGCGTGGATGGAACTGGAGGGTATTATGCTGAGTGAAGTAAGTCAATCGGAGAAGGACAAACAGTGTATGTTCTCATTCATTTGGGGAATATGAATAATAGTGAAAGGGAATATAAGGGAAGGGAGAAGAAATGTGTGGGAAGTATCAGAAAGGGAGACAGAACATAAAGACTCCTAACTCTGGGAAACAAACTAGGGGTGGTGGAAGGGGAGGAGGGCGGGGGGTGGGGGTGAATGGGTGACTGGCACTGAGGGGGACACTTGACGGGATGAGCACTGGGTGTTATTCTGTATGTTGGTAAATTGAACACCAATAAAAATTAATTTATTAAAAAAAACTTGTGCACAAATATTTCATAGAAATATTATTCCTAACAGCCAAGAAGTGGAGACAGCTCGATGTTTACGAGTGGATGAATGGATAAATAAAAGGTGATAGGTATATACAATGGAATATTATTGCACAATAAAAGGAAAGCAAGGTAGTGATATATGCTACAACATGGATGAACCTTGAATGCTTGGTAAGTGATAAAAGTCAGTCACCCCCAAAAGAGAAAATAATTCCATGTACATGAAATGTCCAGAATAGGCAAGTCTATACAGCCAAAAACTAGATTAATGGTGGCCTAGGGCTGGGGACAGGGGTCAGGAGGATGAGCCCGGACAATGTGGGCCGAGGGCTAAAGGTTGTGGGTTTCCTTTTTCCATGACGAAGGTTCTAAAATTAATTGTGGCGTTCATTGCATAACTCTGTGGATAAAGTGAAACTCATTTAATTGTACATTTCAAACAAGTAATTTGTACGGTATTCAAATTATATATATGCCAATGAGGTGGTTTTTTAAAATCTTATAAAAATGATACATTACAATTAATTACAATTTAACAAGACTAAAACCCAGTCAAAAATGGGCAAAAGGGAGTAGATACGCAGATGGCAAATAAACGCATGAAAATATGCTCACCATCATTAGTCATCAGGGAAATGCTAATCAAAGCCACAACGAGATACCACTATTTTACCCACCAGAATGGCCAAAATTAAAAAGTTTGACGAGGACGAGAAGTAGCTGGAAATCGCCTGCATTGCTAGTGGAAATGTAAAATGGTACAACTACTTTATTTTTTTAAATGTATTTATTCATGAGAGGCACAGAGAGCGAGGCAGAGACCCAGGCAGAGGGAGAAGCAGGCTCCCTGCAGGGAGCCCAATGTGGGACTGGATCCCAGGAACCCAGGGTCATAACCTGAGCTGAAGGCAGATGCTTAACCGCTGAGCCCCCAGGCGTCTTGGTACAACTTCTTTAGAAAGTAGTTTGAAAGATTCTTGAAAGGCTCTACATAGGCCTACCATCTGGCTCCACTATTTTAAGTATTTACCCAAAAGAAATGAAAAGTGTTTGTGCACAAGTGACCATAGCAGCTTATTTGTAACAGGCAAAAACTAGAAATGTTGCATCTGCTCATCAACAGGTAAATGGATAAACAAATTTGCATCTGTACGGTGGAATATTTCTTAGCAGTAAAAAAAAACAAAACAAAACAAAACTATTGTGCACACAGAAACATGTATGGCCTTTGAAATAATTATGTTGAAAGAGAGGAGACAAAAACAGCACACACTAAATGATTTCTTTTGTAGGAAATTCTAGAAAATATAAATTAATCCACACTGACAGAAAGACCATTACTAGTTGCTTGGGAAGGGAATTTTATTTTGGAGAAGAGAGGAGGTTGGATTCCCAAGGGGCATGAGCAAACTTTTGAGGGAATGCATGTCTTTATTTTGATTGTGGCGATGCTTTGGCAGCTGTATACATATGTCAAAACTCATCAAAATGTGCACTTTAGATTTGGGCCACTCAATCTTCATTGGTTATACCTTAAAAAAAAAAAACGTTTACATACACTATCTCACTGAAGCATGAACCACTCTACAGGGTTATTATTTTCTCCCCCTCGGATGAGGATATGGAGGCGAAAGCCACGAAAACAGCAATCAGACTCCGCCTGATGCCAAAAGCCCAGTGCTCATTCACTATGTGAGAACTGTAGCCCTTC